ACCGTTGAAATTCATAAACAAACATACAAAAATAGGCACTTATGATTCAAGTGGCACGTGCATGTATGTGTTCAGGAACCCTTCCAGCTTTCTACGGTTTTCGTTTAGTTTGCTTTGGAAGAAAACGTGATCAATAGGCTTAAAGATTGATGAAGCCCACTGTCTTCTCATTTTACCTGTTCATAGTACTACTGTGGAAGTCTTAAGATCGTACATTTTGACCAGATGGACATACTCGTGAAAGTAGCACAGAAACGAAGTCACCAAATCCACGAGTGTTATACATTACGCAATGTATACATTGGTATAGGTAGGGGTATATACTATTATTTTTCTATGCGATCAGTTCGCACATGCACAGCAGACATATTGAATCGAAGAATTTACCCCGCGGTACATTCACTCTTATCATGTGTCCCCTCACCTCAACTTTTGCTATCTTGCTGTAGGAGGAGCTTCTTACTCAGGCTCCATTTGAATAAAGTATCCCTATTGCGATGCTAACCCGAACTCAGAGTTTGCGAGATCAGCAAAATTACCCCCCATCCTCATGCGGATACCGACAACGATCTAGCTGGTTCGCATCCAGCTGGTTGTAAACATAATGTAACACGCGTTCAAGTAGAACATGAGGTTGACGGAAACTCGGGGACTTCGTCTATCTGATGGTGAGCCCCAAGAAGGGCGAAACCGGTCGTGGGCTGTTGAAGAGTTTTCAGCAACCTTGTGAGTAGTTCCCTTCATAATTAAGGATGATTTTCCACGGCATCCAAAACATCAAGTGATAGTATCTTTCTGCACTACACCGTCTACTGGCTTTACATATTCCCAACACTGCATGCCGTTATTATCATTGGTCGGCTTATGAGTTCTTTATTCCAAAACAGACAAGAAATTTCGTGCGTGTTGCTCAAAAGTGAACACATAGTTCGCCAAGATTGTTGACGTTTTTGTGCTTCATAATCTAGACACAGTTTGGGCGTTCAGAAGCTGAACGCACAAGAAGTCGTCTTCTAGTATCCTGTTCTTCTGCTGTACGAAGAAGCTCCTTGAAATGACGCGTTCTCAAGAACCACTCATTGACATTGAAAGCTTCAACTAATCTCTTTCTGGTGTTACATTCTGCAGTAAGGTCGAAAAACCTCGACTTTTGTTCGTGAACTACACATTGCTTGCTTGTGATGATGTTATACAACCGGCTTTCATTGATTTTAAGGGCAGAATTTGCAGAGCATTGACCATTTGATCTCCCTCGGTTGTCCTGTTTTGTGGAGAAATGGGGTTCTGGTTCATTCGGATCATACTATGGTTGTAATAATATACACTCGAGAGTGTCACGTGAGATTTTGACCAATGAGCCCGACACATGTATATGTGGACAGATTTGTGCTAATGCTTCCCTTATTGCGCATTGCTGTTTGACGACCCTGAAGCAGGAAAACATTGAAGAGGTACACAGACACGATGAGTGCTTCTTATTGGCCATTCCTATACAAATTGGCATCTCCGGCACGTGCACTGTTTGAATGAACCTATCCAACAGCATCTGTTGATGAGGGTGATATGAATCAGGGAAACTGTCACGAATAGTATGGTGTCCACCGTAGTGGTGTCTGAGCACTCGTCCACTGCTGAATTATGCTAGAGACTGACAATTTCACTACAGTGTACACAGTGAGATCTTCCTGGAATCACTGTACCTTAGAGACATCCGTTCGTCGCGGTGCAAATGATTTATGAGTCGGATGACTGCAGTCCTTTTCTAGAGGATACTCTCTCACTTAATTTCCGATCAGTACATTCAAGGGGATTTCTGCAGGCAAACGCTGCTTCCAGTCTTATCTACAGCTCTGTCGGGTTCACCCATGAGGGCGGTGTTGACCGAGTTTGTGGTCGCAATGAATCAGTTAGTGAGCAAATCTGCCAGTGTGGATTCACCTGATGTTCTAAGTTTCGTTTGTCTGTCCAACACTTTGCAACATATCAGTAATAGTTGGGTGACTCTCCTAAGACCCAGCGCGAACTAACCAGACTAATCTGTTGTAATTACTTCGTACAATGAGTGAGGCTGGCCCATAAGGAGAGAGATGCCCTGGTGAAATTGAGTTGGACTTACCCGACAACTATCATCATCGTCGTAACGTGCGGTTAAAGCAAGAAGAATAATTTTGATTCCAGATAACAGCAACATTTGTCTCCCACAGTTGATATTGCTACGTGTATGACGTGACCTGCAAAAAGGAAGAGCAACCCATATTGTGGGGGAACGTATTCGCCTGCCGAAGGTTTTTCACTCAGGCAACAAACCTATCTTCCGCTGTTGGTTCTCAGTGTGAACTTCACGTGGGTTGCCGGACCAAGGTCCGCAACTGTAACCAAACTCCACGGACTGATTAACGCTGTTTTGTTTCATGGAATTATCTCTATTCACAAGCAAAGAAAAGTGCAATACTTCGTGGCCTGGTAGGAATGAACGAAAATAGACTGGACAAAGCATTTCCGCCCTTCAACTCGCCTTGACGTTTACATCAACCATCTTAAAGCAATTGACTGTTTATAGACGCAGGATTCGGACAGTTGCCGAGTGGTACAAGCCAATTAAGGTTTTTAGCTCAACTAATCGGCATATGTACTCACGTGGTGGAATGGTCCGAAGTAAAAAGAGCAAACCAAGAGTTGGTGTGAATCAATTAGAAACATACTGGTGGACAATCGAGTTCAGCAAGCTCATCATGTTCAGTAAAGATTTCGTCCTTTCAGTACAGCGAGTGTTTGCTGAAAAGATGAGGAGCATTTGACAGCTGTTTCACCGTCAGTGGTACGCATCTCACCAAAATCCAGAGGGTTCTGAATCCTAGACGTCCTGGCTACTAGGTTGAACACTTAGATGTTCGATCACGAGCGGCTGACAAGCAATAATAAAGACTCAGACAGGACAGCGACAATCAATCTTCAATCACGGAAACCACATCAAGTGGTCACATATTGACCGACTAATCGAGTGATGGCTTTTTAAGACCTGCGAACCGCGACTGAACTCACTGATTTCGCAACTTCTATTGTGCGGATGTTCAAATTGATTCATTAAACTTCGCTGCTCTATCACCCATAATGTGTGGAACGATGAAACGGAGACGCTAACCACGCCTCACGTAATTTCAACATTAGTGATGCTCACGGATTCAAACACCGATCCTCCGCGTTCACAATTCAAATGTTTGCCATTGCATTAGCCCAAACTGGTAAATTGTGTTCATGTCGTCTGGATAAAGGGTAGCGTCTTCAGTGCAGTGAAAACCGCATACACTACGAAGAGATTTACGTGTGCGGAGCCTCAGTTCACCCAAGAATGATACACAGCAAGCATCTTAGAAGGGTGGAAATCTGATGCGAAACGAAGAGTTTTGGGAGCCCTTAATGACTAGAGTGAAAATGTCATTTAGAGGGTCAAGCATATGCCACAAGTGCTTGAAGGTCCCTGATTCTGCTGATTATGAGCGACCACAATTTGATGACCTGATGGCGCACCGAGCTTGAGGAAGAATAGAAACCTAGTGATATTGATAACGTCTTGCACGTTGTAATTTATTTGGACAATTCTTCCCTGGCATATAGCACGGCACACATTTCATGAACTGCGTCCCAGTAATGCGACGTGAGTAGAATTCACTTCTGGCTATTAAGCCACTTGCCATTTGAGTCAAGTTGACTGACTTCAACATAAAAGGTTCAGCCTTAAATTATGGTACGGAAGTAACCAAACGCGCTCAGCGGAAGCTGAGCACGATTAAACGACAGTAATCTCCCGTGGTGGTTGCATACCTTTGTCACTGATGTCACTGCTCCCTGCAACCTAACTTTGTCTGCAGATCTCACATTTAAGGTTCAGTCTGAACTCGAGGTAGTTCAGTCCTAAAGACAAAAATTTATTGACGGGAAGGTTCGCGTTTCAAAACTCAAGGCTTCCTCTTTGAGCTTGAGGAATGTGGCAGTAACTCAGGCCTCGTGATTTTTTTGGGTGGTCTGGCAGGTAGCTACCAAAAGGGTGATCGATTATCATCATTAGTGTGATTGTTATTACTATCTACTCTATTACACGGTCCTCACTTTGGGAACATGCTTTCACCAAAAAGTCTCTTCCTCTCCATTATCTTCTCACCCAATCAGTAGTGTGTATTTTCCTTAGGGCAATTCCATGTGACTATCATGTGGATAGTGCAGAGGTCTTGTGGTCACCCGTACTGAGTTCTCCTGGGTGGGACCCCAAAACTCCTAAATCGTTCGTTTAACCGAGCTTATCGAAATCACACAGAGCCGGAGTTACTGGCTCATTTGTTAATAATAATAGTAATAATAATAATAATACCACTAGTCTCATCGATAATGCTGAAACTTAGTCATACTTATGCCGTGTGGGCATAATACTCTGTGCTGAGTATCGTGGATATATATTTGAAGGTACTCTCACTCCCAAGAATGTTCCCGATTTGAAAGAGGTTTTTGGTAGGAGAAACCACTGACTTTTGGTTGGCAAATTTTCCCTTACCTTGCTGCATTCCGCAACGTTTAAAATGTTGAACTGGGACGCGACACTACTGGCCAGTAACATTACTGGGGGCTTAGAAATAATTTGCCTTCAAATGGTAGCACACTAGTGTGGCAATGCTTGTTATGTTTGATTCAACCTCTATTTGGCTAGGCTCAGTTGTCACTTAACTGTCTTCTTTGCATAACTGTTCAGCGTTGGAGACATTGGGCTGAGCAATTACGTGCGATCGACGCCTTGCTTACACAGATTGTTCGATTACACCCTCCGCCTGATTGGTTGCAGTCGGCAAGGCCATCCTTGATGTGCCTCCCCCTGATTGGTTATCGGAAACCGGCGCACTTGGCGGCAGCCAACGGGCGAGCTGCTGAGACCAGTAATAGCAGCCAATGAGCACGAGATTTCTGGTGTGGCGGCTAAAATCTGCGGCTATGCGGATGTTGTGCTTCCATCCGAGCTTTGTGTTCTGTGTTAGAGTATTTTTTCAAGCTTGACTGGCCCAAACCGAACGACGGCAAAACATAGCTAGGGAAGATGTTGTGAAAATGTTCAAATTTCCCACTACATTTTTGGTCGTTTCACTTAGCCGAATTTTGTGTTATTCCGTTGCCACCAAGAAAACTTCATATCAGCGAAATTGTGACTCAAAAATATTTAAATTCAGGCAGCTGATATACTATCCTGGGCACGTTTTGATGAACTCACTTCTTCCTCGCTCCCAAAACATAACTCACTGCTGTTGGCCAGCTGAAAAGGTGAAATATAAGGCATGATACGTTAACAGTGTATGAGAACAGTTGTAATTGTTGATTATTCTGGTGTCCGTAAAACAATACACAACGTTCCCCCAGGCTTGCGGCCGGTTCAAAAAACAAATATGCAGTTGAACTGGTAGGTGTTGGCTTCTAGTAAACTTGGCGGTGGTAATTATATTGTAATAAATGGGGTGAGCGCAGACCATTTATTCAGTAACTTAAGTCTGGTCTTCCTCATTCTGCAGCTGTACTGTGGAGCAAAACCGCATTGACACGCAAGTAGGATGTAAGTTTCCAACCAGTAAAATGATATTAACTCTGCTTTCACGTAGGATGACATTTTGGGCAACTGGGGACTCCATTTTGACTTGTAAGTCATTGATGGAACCTACGGACAACTGCTACTCAGCTCATCTCAATGATGAACAGCACCAGCCATGTAACATCCAGTTTTGACTTCTGGAGATGCACCGGTGCTTAAACATGACATCCGATCAAAAACGTTATGATCAGGCAGGAATCATCGGCAAATGTAACTTCATCCACCTGACTTTGGAAGTATGAGGCTAACCTCTACTTCGGTAGAGAAAAACATCAAACAACCAACACGCCTCCGCTTATGGGACCATCGTTCTAAATTACTCATCTCCCAAGGACTTGTGTGAGGACCCGGTGGCTGTCTTTGCTACTCAGGGTGATGATGAAAGCGTAGCAACACACATGGCTTTCAGTGTCCTGTCGAAATCTCGTTATTAGCAAAAATGCTTTCAAACTGGAACAAGATTGCTGGCCAGCATAACTCTATGTGAGTTATCGTTTAGCTTGTGCTCCTTTATTTTGTCTCATCAAAACTTCGTTGATGACTGTTTACTTCCTAAAGCCGATCAGAGCTGAATTCTCGTTGGCACATTCAGTTTACACTGACAAAATCTTAAATGGTCTTTTGGGGTTGACAACTTCCGAACAGTAATATACGACCAAGTTAATTGGCGAAGTTACTTTTATCCACCAAAACTTGTTCTTCGGATTCGGTGTATTCAAACTCTAAGTGTTTTCCACGATATTTTCACCTCATCGAGAGAACAAAATAATTTATTTCATGAAAATTACACGGAAACTTTTATTTGGCAGTAAAATTTTATAAGATTCCTCTGTCGGACTCACCATCCGTAACATGTCCATCCACTTTATCCACTACTCGTCTAACTGCACACAATATTTTATGGCTGTCTACGATGGGCTGCCATTTCTTTTTTGGTTGACATTGAAATACGCTTATGGACGTGCGAGCACACACTGTAACTGAACCTAGATTTTGAGCTTAACAGTATATGTATACACCTGAATCCCTTGTACATGGTGTGAACCACAGAGAAAAGACCTCAGGATGAACAGGAGGGGGCAGTTTTCAACCCACCAGCATGCCAAATGATTGTCTCTATTAGCTCGCTCAAAGAAATGCACTTTTATTTTCATAGTTGGACGGCTACTTCTCGAGATAGGATTAGTCAGCTCGAGAAATATCCGAGGTACGCGCTCCCCGGTGATCAGTTGTCAGATCTGGTCGGCCAGGTTTTTATTTGTCCTCCCTGACGACAAATCTCTTGTTACACAGAGCCTGTTTAGTGATTTTTACATTGTTCACGCCTAATAGATGCCGAACTCACCGAAGATGCCGTAGTTGATGAAATTGAGATAGACGTAGTAAGTCATGATCGCGTTGTCGAACCTCGCCATTGATCGCCAACTCTTACTATGCGCCTGAAACGCCATTAGCCGAAAGCTTATGTGTTTTCTACTCTAAGAGACTGCTTCACATTAACAAATCAGGATCATACGAATAGCTGTGTTGAAGATCCGGACCTCCTCCCGCGGCCTAATCTCGGTCCATTTCCACAAGATGGAGTTTATCTGCAAGACTTCTTGTCGGGTAATGTCTAAACGCCGTTCAAGTGCTTCTTCAACCTGTCTTTTGAGTAGGATAGCGTGGGCTTGAAGACCGCAACTTGCTGCTTTATTTTACCTCGAATTTTGAGGAGCTAGATGGGCACCCTTTTGTAGGTGGAGAACTTGGTCTCCGCCGTACTGCTTTCCATTCCGATGGGTGCTGCGTAGTGAGTTAGGCCATTCGGTGGACTTTTGGTTACTTTCAGGTCATCCAACAGAACGATATCATTCTCATACTACAATTCAGCTATCCAGAATTGGGGGCCTTCCTGGGAGCGAAAATATCCCTCCAATGTCTCTTCAAGTGACCAATCGCTTGCGACTTTAAAGCGTAACGACGAAAGTGGACAGACTTGTCACATACCAGACTTAGCATCAAATCTTGTAGTCTCCTCGCAGTATACCCGAACCCAGCCTTCCACTTATGACTAATAGGCCTTATGGGGATTTATCAGCAGATAAGAGGACAACAGGACTGTCCACAGTGACTCGCGATCAACCGAAACAAAGTAGTGTAAAAGACAAGGGAGCATGCCTTGGCAAACAATTTAGATTGGAAGTGATGTTCTAATGCTCGTCGTAATAAGAATAGTTGGACCACAAAGCACCCTTCAGGGCCGAAAGCTCTTTAATTGGGTCTTGTGCATGCGTCTCATGTTTGGCGAAAACTTTGTGGTAGAATGGGCGCGAAATAAGGCTGATTATACGACAATTATTACACACCGTTTGATCGCCTTTTCTGGGGATCGGTAGTAATACTGAGGTGCATTAACGTCACAAAAAATCTTGAGTTTTTCGGATTGAGCAGAACAGCTTTTGGGATACTAATCGCCCTTCGAGAGCAAACTTATGCATACTTTTCTTCAAGAAAATAACTTTCAAGAAGATATCTCCAATGAGACCTAATTGTATAGTATATTTAACTGAATAATACCATAAAAGGGAGACCCAGCGAGGGTTCATTTAGGTTTCTCGTGAAAAACAAGCTTGTGTGCAAATGAGTGTGCGATGGGTTCAAGATTTACAGACCTCAGCGGCGTTTTTCGTCTGTCTGTCCTCTTCACACTTGACATCACAGCCTCAACATCTACCCAACCAATTTGGCATTCATTCCAACAACAGCCCATATACCTGGACAGTGGAAGATATCAGGTGATGACAGAGTGACATCTACTACCGGATCCACTGAACAAAATAGACTGACAACCTGGTGGAAGATATCTTCAGCGTTTCTGATGAGACACCAAATGCAATGTACAAGAGAGAATGTCACATCCCGTAAGGGGAGTGGATAGACCGTGCCAGAGGTCCATACTACGTTTAGCTAAGTGAAGACATGGAGTCGCTCTTCTGCGCAGGGTGAGTAGGCACTTGCCTACATCAACGCTTTGAGACATTCTGACCAGTCTCGATCTCTTAAGGTCTTTCCAGAAGCGCAACGGTTGAGGGATAAGCACGTTTCACGCTTGGACTTGATTAAATTAATCCAAATCGCCCACCATGCAGAACAAAGTGCCTGATACAGATTTTGGCTGAGGAAAGACGCCAACCCAAATCAGGAGCACAGGAAAGAAAACATGTCAAGCTGTGTGCCTATAAAATAGCCTAGTGCTTGAATACGTAATTTCCACTTAAAATAGATCAATAATCATAGCGATATAGACCCAGTCTGTTGGCTGCTAAGAATGAAAGAATTACACAGTTGCTGGACTCTAAACCATATGGGTTATGTGATCGGAAAAGGAAAGTTACTAAAAATAGACGGTTACGGATTCAGCCAATCCAGTGAAAGAAAACCAGACCACAAAACAAGAAGGAAACGGCCCAATCACAGACGAGGGCCAGAACTGTCGAATTGAAAGTGACCAACCGACCCACCGGATTCGTGGAAACTAGATCGCCAGCAAACCAGATTCCAAGCTGACCTACCAACTTATTTGGAGTTATTAGGTGCTGTTTGGAAACCATATACGCACATCCAGAAAAGGAGGAATTTACCCACTCGATCCTGCACTGGCAGCCTCACCTCGTTTGGAGATGGAAGGCTTGCCATCCAACTGCAAGCTTAGCAAACAGACCAATAACCAAACGAGACAGTTTGTTAAGAGGCAGTAAAGCTTACCATATTTCATATAAAATTAGGATCCATGTGACAACCAAAGCAACCCTTCAGTCCACTCCAGGGACTTTTAGTGATGAAACACATCAGGGTGATATAGACTTGGGCAACAGTACACACCGGAGCGAGATGGCCCAAGTGGTTAGAGCGCGAAGTTTCTGACTGGAACGTCCGTGGTTTGAACCCCACCTCTGTCTCTCGACGTCAAGGTTTGTGCAACCTGGTAGTATCCCATCTCTCGTGCTTCCTTCTGGTGGCATGGCAGCTAGTCACCGAAAGGGTGTTACAGATGAAAGGACAGTACACACCCGGAGAATGCTGAGTACTATTTGTCAACCTTAGATCCATCGCTAACCATCTCACGTACACACAGGTGTACACCTACACGTGTCAACTGTCGCCTGTTGTGCGGACCGTCGGCTGTGTAGCAGGCCCTATCTTTTCCATCTGTTATCTGGGAAGTCAAGTCGTGGGGGTGCCAGATTTGCAAATGGATCAGACACTGATTTTCAGCATTTGTCATTAGGCTTGGTCTGACCAACTCATAATCCGGTCTTTGTCACATTATATATTTTGACTTACTTGTTACTGTATACTTACCTTTGTAGCACACCAAGGAAGAGTGTTCCGATTAATACCAGACCGGCCGCCATCAGGTAAAGGATGAAAGGCAAATCCTCACCCAATGGATTGAATACCACGTGACGCATGTCATCCTCACCGGTACCTCTCTGGAAAGGAGGAACAATGGAAAAGGATATTCACATCCGTGAAATAAATACTAGGCTGAAAAGTATGATGATGATAAATTTGCTTTTGCTCCCAAATCGGCACAATTTGACGTTCATATGAATAGTTAGGGGCTAGATCTGACTGATGAGTCACAAATGCATTCACACTTGATTGGATAGTCTCTTGTCAATTCTTTGGCTCAGTTAGTTTTAAAATCACCGATAGGATGACATTGAATCTTAGGGGAACCCTGCTAAAAGCAGATAGTATGCCTTCATATGTTGGAGTGAACCCGGCCTCATATAGACAACTGAGCCACACATTCGGCGCGTCTTCAAGGATATAGTCTACATGCTGGACCCACTTATAATGAAGTGAATTGACTTGCGTGTGATCTTTATGGTACATGTCAGTCGTTATGCCGACCTCAAACCATTTATTCTTCTGCCATGCTACCCGAAGGAAACACGAGGGATGGGATACTGCCAGGTTGCCCAAGCCTAGACAGGGAAAGTCGAGTGGCAGAGGTCAGGTTCGAACCACGGACCTTCCGATCAGTCAATTCCCGCTCTAACCACTTGATCCATCTAATGAGAAATAAAAAACGCCCACTTATCTTGCCAAATTATCAGATATGGTACAAGTCTGAATGCATGGAAGGATAGAAATGAGGAGCGACCACTGACTGACAGGCTACGCTGTTCAGTTACTCATAAAGAATGTGCAAGTATGCATGGCTAGTTTAACGTCAAATTAAGACGTCAGAGTTGAATAGCTGCTGAGTGTCTAATCTCCATGTTGCTGCAGGTGACTGCCAAAATTCTATACGGACTACGAGCATTCCCATGCGCGTTTTCTGAAAAGCATGTGGAGAATAACCTTTCTTCAATAGAACTGTGAAGTTAAACTGAGATTACCTGTTAAAACAAACGAACAGATGGAATCTTAGGTCATTCGTTTTTTCAGGTACCACGCCGTAAAACCGGGTGTGGCAGTTTTATGAAAAGTAGTCTTATCAGTCTCATCCAAGAACATGACTTTAATTCCTTGAAAATTATATAGCTATCGTGAAATTGGCCCTAGCCAGAAAAATACCTTTAAAAATTTTAGTATCGCAGCCTACTCAATTTCGGAATTCGTTGTAACTCTATACCGAGCTATACCGACAACGGATCCATCAAATGTAACCTACATCCCCAGTTGTGTAGACTTTATATTATCCCCTTTGTTGTTTTTTTGTCGGTGATTACACGTGGTTATACGGCCGTCATAAAATATTTATGGGATTGTATATAGTGCTCGAAAAAAGTTTTCTTCAGACCCACACAAACTCAAGAAAGCAAACAACAAGCCTGCAGGATGGCAAACACCCTATTGCATATCTAACCGCACTCTTC